TGTAGCAAGAGTTTCTGAAATTGCAATTCTGTCCATGAGATTTGCAATTAAACATTCTTTCCAGAAGAACTCTCTACTTCATTGCCTGCTGAAAAGAATTCTCGTTCTTGAGAAAAGAATTCCCGCTTCTTGGGACAAGAGTTTTTGAAATAAAGGTTCTTTTCAAGATATTCAGATGTAATGCATTCTTACCACAAGAATTCTCTCTTCTATTCAATCTTGTTTCAAGAACCTCGATTCTCCTTGAAAGAATCACCATTGAAATGATTATTCTGATAAGAATTTTGGTTCTTAAGAGGAGAATATGCTATTTGGGGAATTTAGAGTGCTATAAAACTATAACTGTGTTATTTTAGGATCGAAATCCAAACTGTTTCATGTTTTGATTGCTATGTTCCGAATACAATAAATTTTCCAGCGATTCTGGCATCCAAAGTCAGTTGTTCGTTAGTCTTTCGTTGCCCATCAAAGCCTGAAAATTTTCCGGATATTTGCCTGATGATGAGCATGTTTCCCGTACGGCGTCTCAAGTTCTAGGAAACTGAGAAAATATTTACTCTGACATGCTAATATCCAACCAAGAAAATCCAGCCAAATTCAGCAATATGGAAAAAAATAACGGGGTCGACCTCAAAAACTGGTGAATATAGACATATCAAGTGTTACAATTCCCAATGGATTCGAAAATATGAACCTGTTTCCAACAAACGGGAAGAGCTGACCTAAGCACTAAGCCACGAGGTTTAACAATTTGGCTCTAAAGACACAATTTCCTCGCGGGTAGTTTCAAGAATAGAGCTGAAAATTATATGGCAAATCAATTACTTTACCTTGGCGTGAATCGTCTGCTTAGCAACGTCAAATAAGTCTCTCGAAGTAGAGATCAACCGCATCCAACCTGCAATTCAGCCATGTTGAAGAGAGCTGTCAAATGAGCAAAAAATCCTTTCGGCTTGAAAGTTAACCAAGGAAGACTAGAAACGAGTTTCTAGTCTCTTTCAGTTCTTTAATATTCCAATATTCCAATAAATAACATAATTTAATTTGCTTGTTGAATAGGAAATGTATGTTTTTGTCTACTTTACACGTTAAGAAAACAGGCTAGGGAGTTATTCTTTATTAGCAAATTCCTTCTTATTCGTATTAAAAGTCATATTAAATAAATAAAAAGTTTTATATTCAGAGCTTTCGCTTATTATTGTAGACGCTTGGACTCGTACAACGATCGAAGCTTCAACATCCTCCCCGGGCAACTCAAGGGAATTTTCCAAAAGGGGCCTTACCGGAAGAGGGGGAATTTGAACCTTGCTTGGGTGGGGTGGGAAAATTTGAACTTGAAGTATCAAGTCCTTTCGGTGGAATCAGTACACATGTTTTAATTTTTAATGAGGAAGAGTTTAAAGGTGAAGAGTCCGTAGAATGATTCTATTTGATTAATCTTTCAAAAGAGATATTATGTGAATATCGATACCATCGTCGATTTATACTACGCTCCTGTACACTCTCTTTTATTTTTTTCTTCAATATCGTGGGGTAATTCTTATGAGTTCAATCTCTATCCTGTATTTCTTTTTCAGAAACGTGTCATTCGTATTATTACTTTCTCCTCATTCTTAGAACATATTAGCCCTTTCTTTAAATCCTTAAAAACCATGAAATCTTTTGATCTTGTCAGATTTATTTTATCAGATTTTATGTACAAATTCCATAAACACCTCTTTACCTCCGTTTTCTCCAGCCTTTTCAGTTCTATCAGGAGTATTCATACCTACATCACTAGACTGGCTTCCAAACTTTTTTTGCTCTTCAAAATTCTCGCACAGTTAATGAATATCTCAAGTTAAGCAGCTTATCTGTTCAAAAAGAACTGAAGAATATATATATTGACATTTATCTTATCGCCGGCTGCGAGCATTCGCCCCACGTCATCGCTCTGACGAAGAGCGAACGCTCGAAACGTCAGCCTTTAAACTCTCTGCGGTGGCCAATTTACGTTATCAACTCTGTTGATTACACTAAATTGTAAAGAAAACATAGGCAACTCTCGTGGGCATTATACTGTATTACAAACGCAGTTGGCTTTTCTCCCGGCTCTTGAATTAAACAAGTCATTCTCGATTCTCAAGAAAGCGAAACCTTTTTGCTATATAATAAATCCTTGATATATCCAACTTGTTCGGTCAAGATGGCTAGATGTTAAACCTTTTTTTTTTTTTTTTTTTTTTGCGTTTTTCTAGATCAAGACTTCGTTCCAGTCCGTAAAAACGCAAAAAAGAACTCGGCCAACATCCAGCCATTTTGGCCGAACAAGCTTAGTGAAGCTTAGTGGTACCACTGTACTGGAATATCATACGGCGAGATAGTCCAGAGGTAAATCGGAGCGTTCTGATTGCTACTTACTTGGTCCTTATTTCCCCATACCCCACTTCCTTCAGCCGTACTTGGTAATAAAATTTGCGCGCTTTGAATAAATCTAAGTATTCATTTTTGTAAAATGTTTTCGGCCGTATTTTCATTTTGAATTTCGCTCGGACTGAAATAGTGCATCCGTTTAGGATAGTTTTGTGGAACAGAAAACAAGGACAGTTCGAGCTACAGTAAAACCACAATTACTACATTGAATACCAGGATATAAAAAAGGAATCAACAAAAACTTTAGTACCTGAAGCTATAACATAATGTGTCCTGGTGATCAAAAGGGAAATTTTTGGGACCAAATGAGGAGCAATACATCGGAGTTGAAGATTTCAGATTTCAATTTTGATCAGTAACCGTGCGACTTAGAATTACTCTAGGTTCTTTTTGTCATAAAGTAATTCTACAATTTATGATAAAGAAGTAGGCTGCTAAGTTCTATATCATATAATAGCCGTTTTTAACACCTTTCACACACCACAAATCCCTACCCCCCACCCCAAGGGATCGAACTCTCATGTTAGAAGAGCGGTGTTACTCGTATACATTATCTAATCATGTAACTCTTAGTACTTTTTGGAAGCTAGTTTTGACGAAAGCAAGTCGTCGTTTAATTCAAGTCGTCGCCTTCACAATGGAACGTTTGGAGGCTGACTGTTTTTCTGGGGAGATTTAATTGGCAAGATCAGCGGCGTTTGGCTGTCTCTTATTTTAGCGAGTATAGCACTGACTTTTCTGTCTCCAATAGTAGCCATGAGGTTCTTAGAAGAACTGTTAAAGATAGCAAAACCGGTTTCGAAAAACGGACAGTGGCTTCCTCTGTCTGTTGCTTTGTAGGTGCTCGTGTGAATGTGAGCAAGCCAGTGAAGGGGGAGAGGGAGCCTTTAACGGAGGCAGGTCTCGTAAAGGAATAGTATCAAAAGCTCTCTTACGTTATTGCAAACTTACTCAGTATTAACTTCACCGTTTTTGTAAAACGCCAAACATACCACCTCAATTAAAAAAAAAAACAAATTTTTCCGTTTAATCTGTTCCCATCACCATTTTGCGTCTTTGTCGAGCGGCACTAACAGAGCTGACTCGAGATATTAATTGGTGAAACCAGAGATTAAATGTCCAATCTGTGAACTAATCTGAGTTCGGATACACCACGGCAACTTACTCCAAAAAGGTTAAAACCGGTGGTGCATGCTACATAAGCTGGGTTCTCGAGTGAGAAATTTAACCTCCTAATCTATCCCTCGATCCAGCTTTCTACATGTAATTCGTCTGGAACTTAACTTTACAAAGCTGAACAACTTAAACGAGGATGAAAAATTTATGCAATGATCGGTACAGTGTAATGGCGGACAGTTAAAACGAAAAATTTTTGCTTATTGAAAAAAAAAAAAAAAAAAAACAAGAAAACCATCTTTTTTTGGCAATACTTAGAAGGGTGTAATTTCACCACAAATTGAATCAGAATCAGGTGAACGGGAAGACATTTTCCTCTTTTTTCTTACCTCGAGAAACTTTAACTAAATGTTCTTGTCCGAAAGCTTCCTTAGATGCCCAGTAGCCTCTCGGAGGATTGCCCTCCACCCATCCCCCGACCCCAAGTCTTACTTGTCACCACTCGAGTGGTCTACACCCACAAACCAAGTACAGTAAACAATGTCGCCAGTAAAAAAACCTTTATTACGAAATATTTGCGGTTCTATTTACATTAAGCGTTGTTTTTCACTCTGGTGATTAAAAATTCTTCGTCTACCTGGTAAGTCTCTTTGACCCAAAATTAAGATTTGACTTGCAACTATTTATTTTGTTTAAATATAAAAATCTACTAAAAATTGATGAAACTATATAAGATTTAGACGACCCTCAAAAGACAGGTTTAAAGCTGGTCGGTGTCTCTGAGTTATAGCTTTAAGAATTGCGACTAAGAAAAGGTAGGCAGATTTAGTCTGGTTAGCTTACAGCTTGGATGCTGTAAAGCTTCACATAGACTGGCAACACCGATATCATTAATATAACTACCCTGCAGATTTAGTGTGGTTAGCTTACAGCTTGGATGCCGTAAAGCTTCACATAGAATGGCAACACCGATATCATTAATATAACTACCCTGCAGATTTAGTGTGGTTAGCTTACAGCTTGGATGCTGTAAAGCTTCAAATAGACTGGCAACACCGGTATCATTGATAGAACGACCCTGCAGATTTAGTGTGTGGTTAGCTTACAGCTTGGATGCTGTAAAGCTTTTTACACAGACTGGCAACACCAGTATCAGTGATAGAACTACTCTGCAGATTTAGTGTGGTTAGCTTACAGCTTGGATGCTGTAAAGCTTCCCATAGACTGGCAACACCAGTATCAGTGATCCAAGTGCTCACTAGACTTAATGCGGTTAACTTCCTTACTACTAATCTATTAATAACATCAACACATTCATCAGCCAAGTAAATGTCCAATAAGTTCAGTTTAGACACAAGACAGTGTTTATTGTTCAGTGAATTACAGACTCGTTGTATTCCAGACCGTGTTAGCTGTGGTCCGCTAAGTCCTACCTTCTTAACTTTGACGAACTTATCAGAACATTTGTGTTGTGCCTCTCCAGCTTCCTCTTTATTTAGTTCACTGATAATGTCCAACACAAATGATACACCAATGCAGCCCACATCAGAAAAAACCTCAAAAGCCACGACGCCGTCTGAATTACAAAACGCTTGCGAATTATTCCTGATGAATTGTTTGGCAAATTCTTTGTTTTGATACTCATTCAGACACGTCATTTTAAGATTACGAGACATAAAGGGTGAATCTAATAATTTTTCCATCAGTTCCTCGTTTCCTTCACTTGACAACATGCCAACCATGAATTGGAAAACCATTTCAGAGCATTCTTCGTCTGGAACACAATTTTCCTTAACAAACCAACGAGCAGCCAAAAATTCTTGGACGGTTAGATGCGTGAAGCTAAAGTGCTTCGTGGTTGTAATCAGTCCAGTCCTGAAAGACTGATCACAGTAAAGAAGACCGCTACCTTTCAGTTTGTTGACTTCTTCCAGCTCAAACTCGCCTTCCATCTCCCCTTCATCAAAAGTTGGCTTTCTCTCAACCACCAGTTTCGCCGCTAGTTTTGATAATTTCTCTAATGTGTTCTTGATGACAGAAGGGGGCTTGAAGTGCTCAGGAATTTCTTTCTGTCTGTATTCTGAGTCGGCGCAGTGCTTAAGTTCAAAGATATCAACAAGTTTGGTGTAAATGTCGGTTGTTGAGACAGGAAGGTCATCAGGATTTTCTGATTCAGCAAGGGTATACTCCATCTCGAAGCACAACAGATAACACAGCATAGGAATATGAGCAAAACTGACAAGGTTCTCATTGTTCATGACATGTTTAAGTACAGCGTTCTTCATATTTTCGTTGTTCTTGAAGTATTTCTCAATGTACTCTTTCACTTGTTCTGACGAAAACCCCGCAATTTCCACGTATCGTTTAAAACGGATTCCTCCCATTTTGTCAGATTCATCAGGTCGCGAGGTAACCATGACGATAGTCTCTTTCAAGATTTTTCCTTTGATGAGTTTTGAACATAATGCGGTCACCGGCATTTTACGTCTAGCATCATTGGGATGCTGTTCTTCTAAGTTTCCAGCGATGTAGTCTTGCTGTGAATACTCATCATAGCCGTCGAGGATGATCATAACTTCCTTGGGATGCTTTAAAATGTACTCAAATGTAGAGTCATCAATGTTACATCTGTCATCCAGAGTCGAACAACAATTTAAGATTTCTCTTACAGTCACACAGTTATTTTCAAGCAAATTCAATTGACGGAAAGTAAGCAAATACACAAACTTTAAATTGGGGATTTCAGTGTTTTCTCGTGCTTGAAATAATTCGTTGTTGGCCCAATCGCGAATCACCTTTTGGCAAAACAGGGATTTCCCAATCCCTGCTTTTCCAACGACAAGAAAAAAAAGACTACGTAATTACAAATTCAATCTTAGATGTTTTCCTAGTTTTGTCTAAAATTACCCAGTTTGTCAATCTATCATACAGTTTACAACTTTCCAAACCCATGCAAGATTAACAGATAGCATGGCGAACTTGTTTTGATGAACAACTCTGGGGTCAAAGTAGGTTTCGTCTCATCTTTTCCTTGAGATTTGTCAATTGCTTAGAAAGGAAAAAGCAACATTCACCAGAAGTTGATTTCTTTAAAACTTTTGCCTGATCATTCTATCAGTTCTTTATCAACCCTGCAGCCTTAATCAAACTTTGATCAAACATTAACCTTGTAAAAATTAATCAAATATTAACTAATCAAACACAAATTAACCCTGTAACCCTAATCAATCATTAAGGCTGCAAAAATGGAGGAAATGATCACCAACTTAGGAAGTTTTTGATTGTTAAAGAAATTCTACTTCTCAGCACCATAGAAAATGTATAGAGAACATCATGGAGAAAACACATACTGATGTTAGGGTGCAGAAGGTAAATTTTTGCAAACTGTTGTCAGCCAGAATCTTCAAGAGATTGTTACATAAAGGAAAGACTAACAGCTGCACTAATGATCAGGTACTGGATCCTGGCATGGTAACAATATAATTAATATACTTCATATGATATTCCATTATCTGTTGATTTGGGAATCCTGCCAAGATCCTGGTAAGGTCCCATAAGGGGCCCTTTCGGCAGGTCTGATGGGATTCTCATACAATGAGAGATGGAATTTCATGTGAAGTACTTTATTAAAGAAAGTCTGGAAAAATGCAAAAGGAAACCAAATGGAAAGAAAAAGGGAGTGGAGACATAAGAAAAAGAAAACACCGATGTAAAATGCCAAAATAAAAGAAATGAGAAATTTAAGACTGATGCAAGTCACTCCAAAAAATAAATGCTCATCTCTCTTGTGAGGTGCAGGAGCAATATGTGATCATTTGTGGAATTTGCCTACACTTGAGGCTGTGGAATCTTAAGGGAAACTCGTTTTGTTAGTTGTCACACAAGAGAGATAAAAGAGGGGGTTTCCACATACCCTCCTACTGTGGATCAATATTTGTGGGGTAAAAAGACTGTATAAATGTGCAACCTTCAAACCAGTGAATACTGATTACTCATAATAAGCAGAGACAAGAGGATTTTGAAGCCCTCTGTATTTGTTCCTGTACAGTTTTCTTTTCCTAAGCATATTTACAAACAAAGTGGATTACTTATACAAACAGGCCAATGTAAAGAGTTTAAAAGCTGATGTTTTGAGTGGCAGCCCTTCGTTAAAGCATAGCCCTTTGCCAATCACTCATACAAAGGGCTAATGCTGGAAACATCAGCTTTGAAACTCTTTATGGTGGCCAATTTACATTATCAACTCAGTTGATAATACTAAATTACCCTGTTATACTCTTCCACAGATAGCACCACAGTTTCTTTAGAAATTTACCCCTTTTATCTACTTGTACAAACAGATAATAGAAATGCACGTTTCTTGATGATGATAATGGTATAAATACAGACAAACTTAGAAATATTTACTATATCTTATTCAAAAATTTCTGTATCAGGCCCTTTGGTAGTGATGGTGAGTAAGAAAGCTGGTAAGCTACAAACAGCTGTTGGGGTTGTCAGGGAAACTGCCACAGCCCACGCTGTTCTTTGCACTCACTCTCCTTCTCTCATTTCCACCAACCATGAGACTGACACAAGCTAAAAATTATTTCTGCTATTTTCTGGCTAAGAATTCTTCTTAAGAGATTCTATCCTGCTTGATATTCCATCATTCTTGTCCAATAAGACCTGAAAGAGAACATTATAAAGGTAAAGAAATCCACCCTTAACACCCAAGATCTGATTTTTAATTCTCCCCTCTGGCTGCTACACATTTCCTTGTGAATTAGTTATGAGAATTTGGTGTTTGATCAAAATAACAATCTCTACCTGATAACTTTCAGTATTCTCATTACCTGTTTTCTGGATAATGTAGGGAGAGGTAACATGTTAATCACTTCTGAGAGTTCAGAAGGGTTAACTCCAAGATGTGATTTATATGTAACTTATACTTACAATTTTTATAAATTATCCAGCAAAAGACTCGATACACATATTAACTGAGAAAGTTGTGTATTGATGTAACATCATATTCTCCCTACTAATTTACAAGAAAATGTAAAGTGGCTTGAAGGGAGAATTAATAAGAAGATATTAAGGGTTGAGGGACCTGTTTCACTCTTTCCTTAGATGCTCAAAAGCAAACTTTTTATAATTTATTCAACATGATTAAAAGGCCTTTCAGCAGCAGTCTTTCAGAAAAAAATCTTTCCTTGATCACAATGTGCATGTACAATCCATCTATTACTAACTAGTTATTAGACGAGGTTAAGCATAATGTATAATGATAGTAGGACTGAGTAGAGTCCAATTCTGTCTGTAATCATACAAGTGATTAACCCTTTAATCCCCAAAACTGATCAACATGTAACTTCTCCCTATAATATTCATGCACTATTCAAAAAACAGTTATAAGACTGAAAAAAAAATTTGAAAAATTTATAAGACAGTTCTTATTACATAAAATTGCAAGAGAAATCATGAACATTTCTTGTTCATAAATGAATGTACATGAAGAAACATCATTGAAAGTATGGACAGATGGAATTTTGAAAGCTTGCACATGTTATTTGTAATTTGCACTTGTGATACAACTTTTCACTCCTGTTACAAGAGAATTATGCACTTGTTTTCAGCCAATCAGAAGCTTGTAATTTTTTCATGTACATTATTAAACACTGTAATAATTTGGTGCAAGTGTTTAAGATGACTTCATGAAGTCATCTAAACCATCTATATATAGAAGAGATTAAAAGTAATCCTCAGGTATACACTACCCAAGAGGGTATAAGTGAGATTAAAAATAACCCTCAGGTATACACTACCCAAGAGGGTATAAGAGAGATTAAAAATAACCCTCAGGTATACACTACTTGAGAGGGTAAAGGAGAGATTAAAAGTAACCCTTAGGTATACACTACTCAAGAGAGTATAGAAGAGATTAAAGAGGGTACAAAAGAGATTAAAATAGATTAAAAGTAACCCTTAGGTATACACTACCTAAGAGGATATATGTGGAAAGACTTAAGGTATTATCCTCATGTATACACCACCCAAGAGGGTATAGAAGAGATTAAAAGTAACCATGAGGTATGCACTATTTGCCTCTTTTGACTGAAAGTTGAGGCATCCACCGTCAATCTATATAACCATTTCACTTTTACTAGTTCTTGAATGTCTTTGTCAAGCTTGGCTATTCTTGACTGATATCTTTGCAATTCTCCATGATTATTTGATTAGAGGCATTTTGCAGCTGAAAAATCCTCTTGACTCTGCCTCAGGATTATTCAAAATTAATACTCACTTCACCTTCCGCAATGATTGTTAATTATCAACACTATTAGAACAGTATATGTATGTAATGCAAAAGAAGTTTAAATTATTTATTTTTCTCTACTGTAGCTAATAATTTTTGGCCAAGTGATTCTCCATGCAGATTCAGATGTTTACTTGAGTATGCATGATTACTGACCAAATTGGACAACATAAAGTCTAATTGTCACCAATTAATAATAACCATGACAATTTCTGGAAGAACAAATGCAAAGTTTTAAACTGAAAGTGCTTTTTAAACTCTGTGACTAGTGGATTTAACTGAGTGGACTTACTAACTAGTATGATTGGCTGCTTTAACTGTCCAAATACAGCTGGCCATGTCCAATCAATGCAGTCAAACCTTGATTATCTGGACCTCCATTATCCAGATTTTTCCATTATCTGGACTTGCTGCTCTGGTCCCATTTTCTACCAACATTTATACTCATATCTTCCATTCTCCAAACTCCGGATTATCTGGACTATAAAGCCTATGGACTATATCCAGAAGTCTGGATAATCAAGGTTTGACCATACAGCCAACTGTTGGATTACACTGTCAGATTAAAACTCTATAAAAATAACTATCGAAAAATAAACCATCTAACACACCAATTACATTTGAGGAAATTAAGTAATGGTTATGATTAACCCTAAGATTCCCAAACTTCTAACAGACAGTTATTGAGGGTGATTTTTAACGAAATTAGAGCAAATCATATTTTAGAAAAGAAAGATGATTTTAATAACGTAAACATTACATAAAGAAAAGTGGTAATATTGAATGCCACACAAATGA